AGAGAGAGAGAGAGAGAGAGAGAGAGAGAGAGAGAGAGAGAGAGAGAAAGAAAGAAAGAAAGAAAGAAAGAAAGAAAGAAAGAAAGAAAGAAAGAAAGAAAGGTGGATGGATGGATGGAGGGAAGGGAGGGAGGGAGGAAGGAAGGCCTTAAGATTTGAAAATAGTTATTTGATATCAATGGACTTGAATGCCTGTAATTCTTGTTAGAGATTGTTTGTACTCTTACCATAATTTCTCAATTGCCTTTGTAGGGCTCCAACAGGGACAAAGGCAGATGAGGTACAATGGCCACTGTACAATGCCACAGAGCAGAATTTCTTTCACATCAGCACAGGTGCACCCCAACTCAAGCGGCTGTCACCTGCCCCACTCTGCGATTTCCTGGCTACTCTTCCTGAGAATGACATGCAATCCTGTGAGTTGAGTCCTTTGGGGAAATAAATCCTCTCACTGGAGACCAGCATGGCAGTGAGCAGGAGGGGGAAACATCTGTTTTGTGAGGATACCGTAGGAAAAATGGCTAGAATAGTACACTGCTCAAAAAAATAAAGGGAACACAAAAATAAGACAGCCTAGATCTGAATGAATGAAATATTCTTATTAAATACTTTGTTCATTACATAGTTGAATGTGCTGACAGCAAACTCACCCAAAAATTACCAATGGAAATCAAATTTAGCAACCCATGGAGGTCTGGATTTGGCGTTACACTCAAAATTAAAGTGGAAAAAAAAACACTACAGGCTGATCCAACTTTGATGTAATGTCCTTAAAACAAGTCAAAATGAGGCTCAGTAGTGTGTGTGGCCTCCACATGCCTGTATGACCTCCGTACAATGCCTGGGCATGCTCCTGATGAGGTGGCAGATGGTCTCCTGAGGGATCTCCTTTCACACCTGGACTAAAGCATCCCCCAACTCCTGTGGTGCAATGTGGTGTTGGTGGATGGAGCAAGACATGATGTCCCAGATGTGCTCAATTGGATTCAGGTCCGGGGAACAGGCGGGCCAGTCCATAGCATCAATGCCTTCGTCTTTCAGGAACTGCTGACACACTCCAGCCACATGAAGTCTAGCATTGTCTTGCATTAGGAGGAACCCAGGGCCAACCGCACCAGCATATAGTCTCACAAGGGGTCTGAGGATCTCATCTCAGTACCTAATGGCAGTCAGGCTACCTCTGGCGAGCACATGGAGGGCTGTGCGGCCCCCTAAAGAAATGCCACCCCATACCATTACTGACCCACTGACAAACCGGTCATGCTGGAGGATGTTGCAGGCAGCAGAACATTCTCCACAGCATCTCCAGATCCTGTCACGTCTGTCACATGTGCTCAGTGTGAACCTGCTTTCATCTGTGAAGAGCACAGGGCGCCAGTGGCGAATTTGCCAATCTTGGTGTTCTCTGGCAAATGCCAAACATCCTGCACGGTGTTGAGCTGTAAGCACAACCCCTACCTGTGGATGTCGGGCCCTCAAACCACCCTCATGGAGTCTGTTTCTGACCGTTTGAGCATCCACATGCACATTTGTGGCCTGCTGGAGGTCATTTTGCAGGGCTCTGGCAGTGCTCCTCCTGTCCCACCTTGCACAAAGGCGAAGGTAGCGGTCCTGATGCTGGGTTGTTGCCCTCCTATGGCCTCCCCCACATCTCCTGATGTACTGGCCTCTCTCCTGGTAGTGCCTCCATGCTCTGGACACTACGCTGACAGACACAGCAAACCTTCTTGCCACAGCTTGCATTGATGTGCCATCCTGGATGAGCTGCACTACCTGAGCCACTTGTGTGGGTTGTAGACTCCATCTCCTGCTACCACTAGAGTGAAAGCACTGCCAGCATTCAGAAGTGACCAAACCATCAGCCAGAAAGCATAGGAACTGAGAAGTGATCTGTGATCACCACCTGCAGAACCACTCCTTTATTGGGGATGTCTTGCTAATTGCCTCTGCTTTCCACCTGTTGTCTATTCCATTTGCACAACCACATGTGAAATTGAATGTCAATCAGTGTTGCTACCTAAGTGGACAGTTTGATTTCACAGAAGTGTGATTGACTTGGAGTTACATTGTGTTGTTTAAGTGTTCCCTTTATTTTTTTGAGCAGTGCATATTATGGACAAGAGAAACTGCCTAGGAACCAGTATGCTGTAGCGGATAAGTGTCTGTCTGGGGCCGGAAAAGACCATATTCAAGTCCAACTTGCTCATGGAGTTCCACCTATTTCATTGTTATGTGGATTGAAATGAAGATATATGCTCTTGAGCTACTAAAGAAGAAGTGAGGTAGGAGCAGAGGTGGTATTCAGCAGATTCTGACAGGTTCTGGAGAACCAGTAGCAGAAATTTTGAGTAGTTTGGAGAACCAGCAAATACCACCTCTGACTGGCCCCGCCCCCATCTATTCACTGCCTCCTGAGTCCCATCTGACTGGCTGCGTCTTCTTTTGTTGCCCTGCACAGGACAGCTGAGCTGGAAAGCAGGTTAATGGGGTGGGGAGGGAATGGGGATTTTTCAGTAACCTTTCCCTGCCATGCCCATCAAGCCATGCCCACCAAGCCACACCACACCCACCAAGCCACACCCAAAGAACTAGTAGTAAACCTTTTAAATCCCATCTCTGGGTAGGAGGATAAAGATGGTCCATGACTTATGACCACAATTGGATTTTTAAGTTTTTAAGTGAATCTAGCTTCCTTCATTGAGTTTACATGTCAGAAGCCAGCTGGGAAGGATGCAGATGTTGATCATGTTACCTAGGGATGTTGCAACCGTCATAAATACATGCCAGTTGCCAAGTCCCCAACTTTTGATCACATGATCATGGGCTTGGTAACAAGCATGAAAACCTGCTGTTTTTCAGTGCTGTTGTAACTTTGAGTAGTCTCTAAAGGAACAATTGTAAGTCGAGGACTACTTGTAATCATTAGGAAGTAAAATAGCAATGTATCTTATTTTCTCTCTTCCTGCTTCATGAATATAGATGACCACTAAACTTGGTACATGGATGGCTACTTTATCTTTTTACCTTTAACTTCATATAAGAGACAAGAAAAGTATTTACTTTTGCTATGAGTCAAAAAAAAAACACCTGGGGGAGCAGCTGGTAAAATAATAATAATAATAATAATAATAATAATAATAATAATAATAATAA